GGTCTCCTGGCGCCGCGTTGGCGGCGGCGACGCGGGGTAGGTGGAAGATGAGGAGGGAGGGGCCGCCTGCCGCCGAACAGCGGCCGCGGCGTTCCCCCCCTCGCTCTCGACCCTCTTGGTCTTCTTCCTCCCCTTCCCGCCCTTCCTTCTCCTCCTGCCACCGTCCCCCGCTCCCCGGTTCCGCCGGTCACGCCGCTGGTGCCAGCGGCGGATGGTCCCGTCACGGCAGGGCGGGCAGGCGGGGGGGAAGGACCACGACGGCTCGACGCCGGCGACGCCCCTGGGCCGCTCCCGCGGGCTGCGGTCATGCGCGAACCCGCGGGCGGCCGCCCGACCCCACGGCCCGGCACGTCGGGCAGGCCATCGAGGCGCGCCAGGATGCGCGCCTCCATGGCCGCGACCAGCCTCGCGACGTGCCGCTCGACCGCCCCCTCGACGTCTGCCATCGTGACGGGGCGCTCCCCTTCTGGGGGCGCCCAGCGCGGCGACGGTGTCGAGGGAGGCAAGGGAGGCAGGGGAGGCGACCGCGGGGGCGACCGCGGCGCCGCCGCACGGGCCGCTGCCGCAGCGGCCTAGCCCCCAACTCCGGCTCGGGGGGTCCCGGCGACGGAGGCGCGGGCGGCGGCATCCGTCGGGCGTCGTGAACACCGACCGCCGACGGTTCCTCCGTCGATGCCGCCGCCGCGAGGCGCGGGCCGGACAGTGCCTCCAGAGCGGAGAGCCGGGCTCGGAGGTCCTTTACCTCTATTTCGAGCTCCAGCTCCCGCCCGGACAGCACCGTCCGCCTCGCTTGCTCAGCCGCCGCATGTTTTATCTGCTGGGCGGCCTCCCGGAGCGCTCGGACGCAGGTGCCCTTCAGGTTTGAAGAGCACCGAGCGATCTTTTCTATTGCCTGGACGCTGTCAATTATGACAGCGCCCAGGTCCGGGGTCGGAGCTTGCCTCATTTCTTCCGCCACCGCATCCTCGGCCGGAAGCTTCTTACACGACTTGTGGACCGGTCGTGGCGGTACCGACCGGTCCAGCAAGTCGTCTTCCTCCCTGAGGCGTCGCTCCTGGAGCTCGAGCTCCAGGAGCTTCCTTTTCGCCTCAGCGAGGCCCACATACTCCCCAGCGGTGGGCGGCCTGCCTCTTTTGCGGGCCAGCCCACTCGCACTGGAGCGGACAGAGGAGGCGACCGACACCGCCGAAACCCTCGAGGTGTCGGACTCCTCCCCGTCGCTAATTTCCATCGCCAGCGCCAGGTCTAGGTACCTGGCGCTGGCGCTGGTTGACCCTTCAGTGCCGGCCAGGCGCTGGAGCCTCACTATCGGGGCCTTACCCGCCCTGGAGGCGGCCGGTCCCGAGGGACCCGGCAGCGCCTCCGACGGGGGGTCGCCCTTCTTCTCTCCTCTCCTCTCGTCGCCAGTAGTATTTAGGACTCCGGCGGCCTGGTGGTCCACCGCCGGTTCCTCACGGTCGTCAGATAACGACACGGGTGCGGCCCGCTCAACAACCGCACCCGCGCCGGCTCCTGGGGATCCGAGGGCCCCTGGAGCAGTAACACCTATTTCTTTATTTGTGTCAGTCATAATATTTCTGTACACCTTCATCTCTCCTACCACTTACACCGTTAGCACCCTTGACGGCCGAAGCTGCCAAGGGTCCCAGGGGGCACCACGTGGAGGTGGTGTAAGTGGATTTGACCAGACCGGGCCCGCCGACTTCGCCGAAGTTCGCCGCAGCAGACGACACCGAGGTGTCGCCTGATTGTAGGTCGAACATCAGCTCCATCGTGGTTTTTGACGCAGGTCAGAGTGTTACGTAGGAGCCCGAAGACCCCTACGCACCCCTCGCTGCGAAAACCCGATCCAGCCTCGCCCCCCCGTCTGTGACAACCTCCTCTAACCAAGCCTTTAGAGATTCATCAGCGTCGAACCAATGACGCTGGAATCTCTTCTTACTTCTCTTAGCGGACTGATATGCCATTACTCACAGTTACAATTCTTTAACACGAAAATATAAATGTACACGATCACTGTATCCTGTCACTGATCGTCACTGAATGTCACTGAATTTCGGTTAACGTAACTGTACAAAAGAGTGGTGCGAATAAATGTAAAACACTCTCACTCTCTTGTGGACGAGTAACAAACGTTTAATAACAGACACTGCTTACTATACACGATTTAAATAAAACAATACTTTAACAATAAACGAATATTACAATGAAGAAGCGTATTGACTTAATTTCCGGCCGCCCGGGTTCAAGAAGAACTTTTACGATCGCTGAATTAGTATAAGAAACGTCAAAGAATGCGTTGTGCTTATCTAGGTGACTAATTAGCGACTGCCGGATTACCGTTGGATTAACGGTAATCCAGTGCGGTTGCCGGGTCAAACAGTCACGTAGGCACCTCGCATGGCAACAGCCGGTGAGAGCGACAAGGAACACACTTGTCGCACAAAGGCACGCGTTAGTGCGACAAGGACGGCGTGTTGATCATACGAGGCGACCTACAGACGGCCCAGGCAACGATAGCGCGCGGTTAGAGACGCGCGAGCCGGTAGTCGCCGAATTCGGTCGACGATTACCGAAGACGCTGCGTACGTGATCCGCGTGTCGCGAGCAACAGCCAGCGCGGCTGACGTCCTGCGTAATCCCGAACAGTAACTGTTAGGGAGTCAGTTAAAAACATACTACGCAAGGAATCATCGCGGCTGTGATCGCTATAAATCGCGCCACCCGCGGGGCAAACCCACTTTTTCCCCTAGCACAAGCCGGAGGACCAACACAGCTGTCATGTATAACGTCATAGCCTACGTAACATATATGCAACAACATTATTTCAATTGCTCCTTGTAAATAAGTTGTTATTAAGATATCTGACCATTGAATATTATAAAACAGATCAGGAGCAATTTTTTGGTACCATGATCTTTTTGTAAAAAAGCCATTTCCTATCTATTGTTGCTTTTTTATTTGCGAATATCTCATTAAATCTAAACGTTGCGATGGGAGCAATTTTAGATTCCGGAAAGAGCAAATCGGGAGCAATTTTTTAAGATATAAATTGTTAAGGAATATTATGAAGTCGTGTACAGTAGGCGCTCGTTTATTGCAGCCTTCGTGGCTGACGTGGGTCAGAATTCCATATATATTGCAATATCTCATTAAATATAAACGGTGCTGTGGGAGCAATTTCAGATTCGGAAAGAGCAAATCAGGAGCAATTTTTTTATATAAAACGTTAAGAAACGTTAATATTCGGCGCCAACTATTTTCCGGTCATTATTGAGAATTTTCATTGATTGCTTTTATCATCTGTGGATATTGTTTTAACTTTGCAATTGAAGTTCGAATTTCATAAAACAAAAGTAATCTATGATGGAAACAGTGTCATTCTGACTATCATTTCATATAATTAATTGTGTTAATCTTTTTGTTTGTGACTTATACCATTTTACATAATAGCAACACAACATTCCATAATATTTTTTTTATACTTTTGTTCTTTAATTTAGAGTTTTAGAGCATCAGAGTAACGTGTTTTTTACTCCTTAAGCATTTCATAATAATATGTTTACATTTATATATCTAATACCTTTTAATACCTACATTTATAAAAGAGATATATGTATATAATCATTTATGCAGTTGTACTTGAACATGAGGTACACAGCTTTATAGTCTACTTTTTCAATATATTATAAAAGTGTTTCGAATAAGTTGGTTCCTTTGGACGTTCCCTCGTTGGTGTACAAACAACTGATGGACATATATAATCTTTGTGTGACATAGGTGTATCGTTTGAAAACGATGCTAAATTCTTTATTACTGGTGTTGTAACTGATATAGATTCATTACTGACATCAGGTACTGTCATCAATTGTTCTTTTTGCTTTATTTCATGTTTCCAACTCAGATTTGAAGTAAATTCAACTTCTGTAACTTCTGTTATTTCTTGCAATGTACACTGATTGGACTCCTTACTAGTGCTTATATTGGTTCTGTGAAATATATATAACATATCATCTGAGTTGCATGGTATCAACTATATAAAATTTGAAAGAAAGAAGCATTATAAGCAACTACTTTAAATAGGAGTTATGTACCAAATATTTAGACCAATTCATCCATACCTTGCTAGGTATGAAAGATTATTAAATATGGTACAGTATAAATTTGTAAAATTTATTGTGTGCACAATAGAGTATAAATAGATACCACTGTATAAATAGAATATTGAACTTATTATACAAAAATACAGTGTATCATCACAAATCCACAAATCTATCTTTAATTATTTCTTAATAAATCAAGTCATGAAATTATGTTCTCGAAGAATATCTTAAAAAGCATAGGTTTATAATTATTTTTTATTGTTATACTTACATGGGGCTTTGAACATTTAGATTCATTAAGGCATCACAATGATACTCGTTAAAGTTGTTACTATTAATTTGTTACATTGAATAAAATTGTTGCAAATCTATAGTTTCATATTTAATTAATTTTATCAACTGTAATTCCTACTGTATTAATATCTTATGTGTACGTACATAAAGGAAATATATTTCAATTACAAAATAAAATAGAAGTAGTTATTTAATAAAAGTTATATAACAGTTTTCTATAGTAATCCATTAATGTTTTTGTACAAATGCAATTCAGTTTATAAAAAATCATAGATACTGTTTTAATAAACATCTTCTGTATTAAATAAATCATTACTAACATAAGTACTTACTCATCTAAGGTATTGTCTTGATTATGATGGTACCCATATTTTTCTAAGACAAGTTCTATGTTATCACATTGTTCCTTTAATGATTCATATTCTTTCCTGGTTTCTTGAAGAAGTTGTTCTATGGCCACGTCTTCTATGCGTTCATCCACTTTCAATGAAATTTGTTCTATTCCGTCCTGATATAATAATATTACATAATTGATTGTATATATATTAATGAATAAATAAATTTGTTACTATACTTGTGCATTTTTTATATTGTTCCATATAGCTTCAATGTGAAAATTTGTTTCTTCGCTACATTCTGCAAATCGTCCGATGAAAACATGAGGCCGGTTCCATATCTCGACTAAGCTCTCAATACCTTTGTCAATCTGTCGAGTTTGAAGCATAAGCTTCTGGAAATAATTTATGTCCATCACACAATATTTGTTTTCGGCAAATTTAAATATTTTGAGCGACCAGTTAAACGTTTTTTAAATAACCGTAAACAGGTTAGCCAATACAAAGAATGAATCTCTTAATTGTCCAATTGACCGTCTATGTGAAGTTAGCCGCAGAACTTTAACTTTTTAACTTTTCATTATATCCAATCGAATGGTGGTCGTTTGGTGGTCCTTGGTGGCCTAATTAGAATATTTGGTGGTCATTGATTAAAGTAGAATCAATGACCTATAGCAGAGAACATACAATGAATTATAGCAGAGCAATGGGTACAGTAGCATTCGACCAATCAAATGCATTTACCTCGTTAGCGTCGTTTCGCTAAACCCAGACCTAATGACTCGCAGAGCAAGATCGATTGAGAAATATTAGTTTTATCAACCGAAATGTGTTTCAGTACTCCTGTATCCACTTCTCGGGCAATCCCAGCTTTCGATGCATGTCGTGCTGCAGAAGTAAGAGTTTTCATATATTCTGCATTAATTAATGACCACCAAATGTTTTAATTAGGTTACCAGTCATTAGTACACCTTTCTAGATTGATTGATTCCTCTGAAAAGACAATTGATTCAGAAATATCTGTTTTATCAACCGTAAACATTGAGTATTTAAAAAATTTACATAATTCGCGAAAAAAAAATTTTCGGCTAACTTCACGGTCAAATTTTGATTATGTTGTTGCGTTCTCTTTAGTGAATTTTAAAGCTTCGTGGGAAAAATAGCGTGAGCTAGCGCCTATGGGGCACTGTTAGTTGTGAAATTATATTTAAATATTCAATTAAATAACAATTACGATTTAAACTGTTCACAACTCTTTCATTTTAATTTCAATATTTCTTTACACTTATGTAAATGAATTTACTAAGAACTTTTACAAATACTTTTTATGTTTCGGGAACGCGTCTGGATAGTTGTAATGTTCAGAGATGAATGGCGGAAAAAAGAAACAAGGAGCGTCATCTCCTTGTCCAATTATAAAAATAAACACAATTTGTTTATTATCAAAATGTCTTAGATACCGACATTCAATCAGGAATTTATTAATTAATTAAAACGACTTCCTATTTGCCAATGCATTTACTTTCATTTATCAATTGTCCCGCTCGCGAGCGTTCTAACATTTCAGCATTGTTTTGCATATTAAGAGAGGGAGATAAAGAGAAATTATTCAAACATAAATAACTTGAAATCTATCCTTTTGGATGAGTAACTACTGATTTCAAATCGTTTCCTACATGTGCCAACTTCACCTTTCTCCCTTCTCCTATTGCATTTCTTTCAAACTTCGCGCTTTCAACTGTTGTGAATCTCGCCCTCATCTTGTAGCGGCGTCTAGCGTAAGCTTCACAAGCGTGAAATTCAAATTAAGGTATATGATTGTAATCAGAAAAGGAGATAGAAGTGAAGTTATATTTAACTTATATTATATTTTAACAGTCGAATTTCGCTTTTACTCCTTCTCTAAAATATATTAAATCATGGCAAATATGTTAAACACTTGAAAATTATAAAATGAATAGCTGAAAGAAATGTATTAACAAATCAGGAATTATTTCATAATTTAATAATTATTTTATTGGCTCCTGGTATCTAAGGACATATTGTAATTAACAAGATGTAACAAAAACGATCGTTTTGTAAAAGAGACCATTCCAGTATTGACCCTCGATAAATAAAGACGTGTTTTTCAAATTAAAGTTGTCTCCTTTAAAAGAAGTCTAAAATTTCATAACAAGCAGAGTTCTTCAGGGCTCCACGGGCGAGGATTCACGTCTGATTTATCTCCTTTAAAAGAAATCCCTGGAAAAGGCCGCAACAATTCAACACTCGCATATCAATAACCCTAAATATCGCTTTAACCAAACACCTATTCCCGCGACAACGTAACATTATAATTACGCCACCATGACCACTGTTACGTTGTCGCGGGTAGTGTCTTTAGTTCAAGCGATATTTAGGGTTATCGATATACGAGTGTTGGAAGCGCGAAGTTTGAAAGAAATGCAATAGGAGAAGGGAGAAAGGTGAAGTTGGCACATGTAGGAAAGGATTTGAAATCAGTAGTTACTCATCCAAAAGGATAGATTTCAAGTTATTTATGTTTGAATAATTTCTCTTTATCTCCTTCTCCTAATATGCAAACCAATGCTAAGATGTTAAACACTCGCAAACTGGACAGTTGATAAATGACAGGGAATGGATTGGCAAATAGGAAGTCGTTTTAATTAATTAATAATTTCCTGATTGGATGTCAGTATCTAAGACATTTTGTTAATAAACAAATTGTATTTGTTTTTATAATTCGGCAAGGAGATGACGCTCCTTGCTTTTTTCTTCCACCATTCATCTCTGGACATCACAACTATCCAGACGCGTTCTCGAACATAGAGAGTATTTATAAAATTAAATTCATTTATATAAGTGTAAAAGGGTGTTGAAATTAAAATTAAAGAATTGTGAACAGTTTGAATTGAAATTGTTATTTAATTGAATACTCAAATACAAAATCACAATTAAAAGCGCCCCATAGGCGCTAGCTCACGCCATATTTCCCACGAAGCTTTAAAATTCCCTAAGAAGAACGCAACAATACCAAATGACCACCAATCGATTAGGTATAATGAAAATACCTAGTGAGCTGGCAGTCAGGGTACAGGTGTACCAACGCACGTACAAAGTCGATAAAACAGATAATTCTGGATAGATTGTCTTTTCGGAGTGTTGCGTATTCGCAACTGGTAATATTTAGAATCAAGCGCCATCTGTTCAGAATTTTAGGAATAAGTACATGTAACTACACTGTCATCTGTAGGCGTAGATTCAAATTAGGCGCGGCAAATATGAATTGTACAACAGCGTAACTGAGGCAATGAATCAGGGTATTAGATAACTAATTATTGATTAAATGTCAAAATGATAACATTGATGACTAGAAATTACTCGTATTTGATATTTACTTTTGGTTGTCATGAGGAAACATTGCCAAGGTATTAAAAACGCTCGTTCCCCGTAATGATTAGACCCAATAGGATTAAAGTAAAACTATTTATTAATTCCTAATTGGATGTTAAATAATTGTATTTTGTTAAAAGCTGAAGGTACACGTTCTTTTTGTTCAACGAGGATTTTATTTCCATTTTGATTGCTTCTTAATCGAGTACTCAAACTGTTCGGACGTACTTTTCTAAATAGCAGAAAAGCACAAATAACTTTAATTTATTGTTAATTCAAGTTTATTGTTCATTTTATAATTTTGTTAACAAGTTCAAATACAAGTTCCTGAGTTTTATTTCATTTATCGAGTATTTATTGAAGTTAACTCGAGAAGAGCGTATCAGCGCTCCACGGGGACCCGAACCCTGCCTAAATTCTCAATTACAAATCTTTATAAAACGGCCACGCAACAGGAGGAATCAATCGATGTAGAAAGATGTGCTAATGATTGGTAACCTAATTGAATCATTTGGTGGTACTTAGTTTCTATAAAAAAAAACGAAAAAAACGATGTAGTTGTTGCGTGGGCCCTCAGAGAATTCCTGAGTCTCAATGTAATTTAAAAGTGAAACGCGTTAGCTTTATAGTTAATTGTAAATAAAAGGAAATTATAACGATAATAATAAATAGCAATAGATATTTAAATTAAACTTTGCAACTATATTTAAACTATTACAATAAACGATTTAAACTAATTATAAAGGAAAACGAATTTAATTTATAAAGGTAATTATATTAGTCCTTTCCGTTACAATGTTGTCGATGGAATGAATGTCTTTTCATTTCTCTTTATACACCTTTTTGTTTAATTACAAAATGTCCTTAGTTACTACTGACCAATCCATAATTATTTATTTCTAAGATTTATCTTGATTCGTTGATGCGTTTCTTCTCGGTTATCGATAACGAGCGATTTACATATCTGAAATGATTCTGAGTGGTAGGATAGGAGGCGAAGGCAACTGGCAAATGTTTAAACATTCGTTAATAAACGAATATTGATTATTTAATAATCTTGAAATGCGTTTATTAAAAGGATCTCTAACAGGTTTCACACTTCTTCAATTAGTGTCAACTTCACCTTTACCCTCCTTTCCAATAGGAAAGTTTGAATCGAACGACACATGTAATAACATGTGTTGTTCGATTCAAACTTCGCGCCTCTGGAGCTTATGACATATATCGCTACGTGCATGAGCGAGGATCGCAACATAGTGTTGCGGTCCCCGCTCATGTCACGTAGCGGTGTATGTCATAAGCTTCACAGGCGCGAAGTTTGAATCGAATAACACATGTAATAGGAAAGGAGGGTAAAGGTGAAGTTGACACTGATTTGAAGAAGTGTGAAATCTGTTAGAGATCCTTTTAATAAATGCATTTCAAGATTATAAAATAATCAATATTCACTTAGAAACGAATGTTTAAACATTTGCCAGTTGCCTTCGCCTCCTATCTTAACGCTCAGAATCATTGCAAATATGTAAATCGCTCGTTATCAATAACCGGGAAGAAACGCATCAACGAATCAGGTTAAATCTTAGAAATTAATAATTATAAGATTGGTCAGTAGTAACTAAGGACATTTTGTAATTAAACAAAATGATATACGAAGGGAAATGAAAAGACATTCCATTCCACCGACAACGTTGTAATAGAAAGGACGTATAAAAATTACTTTATCAATTAAATTTGTTTTCCTTTAAAATTAGTTAAAAATCGTTTATTTAAATAGTTTAAATATAGTTTTCAAAGTTTTAATTTAAATCTTTATTGTTCTTTATTATTATCGTTATAATTTCCTTTTTATTCAAAATTATCTATAAAACTAACGTGTTTCAAACTTTAATTACTTTGAGACTCAGGATTCCCTGAGGGCCCACGCAACAATAGCATCTGGCGGATACAAAATACAGGTGTACCAACGGACGTTTAAAAACGATAAAACAGATATTTTCGGATAGATTGTCTTTTCGGAGGAATCAATCAAT